TAAAAATTTGAGAAACAAAAATTATGTAAAATTTTAAAATTGAGGGATTAAGATTGCCATTTAACACAATGTAAATGAAAACGGGTAACAATTTTTTTTATAACTGTTGTATATAATTTTCAATAGTAATACCATATAAAACAATTTAATTAGATATTTAATAAAATTTAAGTCAATTAGTATTTTTTTTATGTAAATTAATGATGAAAAGGGACAATAAATCACCCTTAATTTGTTTTCTAATAAGGGTACATGTTAGAAAATTTCAAAATAAAAAATCAATAATTTGTTTAAGACAAGTTTTAACAATATTGAAAACAAAAAAATATAGACTTATATAATAATATTAAACTATTTTTGTTTTTATTTATTTAATAATTTTCAAAATATGTTCCGAAAACACATAAAAATAAATATGTTTAAGTTTTATTTAGAGTTATTAAATTCATAAAAACTAAAACAAAAAATAAAAAGTTATAATCATACTTAACAAAATCTTAGTTGAGCCGGTGAATTTGACACTAATATTTTGATTATTCAAATAAAACTTATGGATAACCATGCTAATAATGGACTCAAATAAAATTTGTTGAATTTGATTTTACCTGGATTAAACCAAAGCAAAAAAACCCAGAAAAAAAAAAAGAAAAGAAAAGAAAGGGAAGAAGAGTTCAAAATAGCAATTGCTTAGTTACAATTGATTACGCCCAAAGCAAGATGTAATATGAAAAGGTGGTTTACAAAGTTTGATATATTAATGATTTGTATCTACATTTTTTCTCATCTCATATACTTCAACAAAAACTTAGGCAAATCAAGATTAAAGATCTAGATAGTATACTTACCCGTTTAACAAATAAAATTGAAGAAATTAAGGATGATGACCAAACTAAACCAAGTAATTACAAGCACCAGTACATTTGCTTAATTGCAAGCCTATTCCTTTGTAAACAATGAGATTGACCAATCTTTCCTGAAAGTAGAACATGATGCAAATACAATCAATAAAAGAATAACTCAAAAGATTTGTTAAGTAATTACAAATTAATTAGGTAAAAGGAAATCTGAAGATAAAAGAATCTAACAATTTATTAAGATACAATTTAAAATTGGAGAATCAAACAAAAATATTGAAAAAAGGTCCCTCATTCAAAGAAAATTAGATAATTTTTATTTAATATGTACTTTAAAGATAACATAAACTTTTAGAATCAAGATTGAATATCTTGATTGATAGTATACCTGCAAGTTCAATGGAAGAAATTGAAGAAAGTGAACGCTGATAATCGAAATAATTAGGCAAAGCAAATTGGAAGCAACTGCAGATCTACTCACTCAATTGCAAGCCAAATTGTGTCTGATAATAAGAAAAGGTGAGACAGCAAGGGAAAAGGGCAACCTTTAAAGAAGGGATTTAGCTGGATATTTCCTAGAAGATGCTTGGCGAGATAGCAGTGAAATGTATGTATGCAAAGTGATCCAAAAAGGTACAATTAGGTAAGGGTATTACAATATTTGAATTAAGTAGGCAAGTTGAAACCAATTACAAGAGAGGTTGGAACAATCTTTTCACTAAGCTGAGGACAATAACAAAAGTGCAAAAATTAGTCTATTATTATAAGGAAAAAGGCAAAATGAAAAATTTAGACATCGTAATATTAAAAATATTAAAATACTTAATAATAATTATATAATATATTTGATAAAGTTAAAATTTATAATATATAAATATATTTAATAATTACAGTTAAATATTTTAATACTTTTAATATTAAAATATTTTTTTTTCTTATCATAAAATGATCAATAATTGTACAACCACCGGAAATTATAACATTAAAGAAAGAGTTGACTTTTATTTAAGACTTATTGTAAAGACTACGTCAAAAAAAGGAGCCATGAAAACTACCCTCAGAACAGTGGGGACAAGCGGATGGCTTGTAGCTTTCACTGGCTCATTCGCTTCTTTTTCCTTGCCGCGTTTACCGCGTTTCTCATTCGTAAAAGTTTCTTTCTCAACCTTCGACCCCCACTTAATCTCCATTTTTTTTCTTTAACTTCATTTTTCTTCGTATTTTCTTCTTGGGTAAACTATGGCAATGTTCATTCACTTTTATTATAATTTTTAATTTAGTTATTATTCTTTTAGAGTAATAAATTTGGTGACTAACTTGAATTTTAATATGTTGTCATTCATCGCTCTCTATTGTCTCTCACAAATTTCATTAAATGATGACATAGCATTTAATAAAATAAAATAACAATTTAGTTTCAAAAAAATAAATAAATAGGTAACAAAGAAAAAATAGTAGATCCGTAGCAGTACTATAATATGTATTTTAATTCTTAAAAATGTTAAGATCATATGAAGTTAAGAACCAAATTAATTAAAGTCTATAAAGGTTAGTTATGAAGAGAAATAGAAAGAAATGGTTAGAAATTAAATATATAAAAAATTAATAATATAAATTTATCACTAAATTTATGCAATTTGGCTAATTTTATACGTCTTTAATGTATATTCATTTATTTAAAATCTTTGAAATATATAGAAAATTTTATAAAAAAAGATTCTTATATTAGTATGCAACCACTTTGTTAGACAATTGCTAGAAACTAATTTATTTATTGTTATCTAAGGGTGTGAGGATCATATAGTATTAGTAGTTTTTTTTTTCCCATCTATTGATTTTTTTGCAGCAAGATTGTAATTTGGTTTCACTAATTGCCACATCATCACCCATGTCATCACTTAATAGAATTTGTTAGAGATAATAGAGGGTGATGAACGGCAATATGTTAAAAGAAAGGTTAGTGACTAATCTTTCAAAATTTAAAAAATAATGACTAAATTATACATTATGATAAAAGTGAGTGACTACTTATGTAGTTTACCCTTTCTTCTTTGGACACAACAAAAGAAAAAGAGGAAAAAGGTTAACAAGGGATTTTCTAATTTTTACACTTCTTTTTCCTTGATAGTTAAAGTGTGTCAACTGGAGGATAAGACAAAGGGCAGTGAGGGAGTGCCCCTAAGCTTTTTTGAAAAAATTAAATATAAGATTTTTAATTTTTCTACGTATTAAACTTATTTTGATTTGATTTGATTCATCATTTTTTTTATTTTTTTTATATAATTTTGGGCTATACTTATACAATAAAAAGTAATTTTATTCTATATCTTAACTTATTTTACTTATATATTATATAATTTGACTTCGAAATTTTTTACTTCCTATTTTGTTTATTTTAATGGAGTGGAGGACTTATTTTGCATGTTTTCCAAACTTGACAAAGTTTTTTGTGTTCTTTTTTTTTTTAATCTTGGTTTACACTAAGAAAGTAAACCCTCTTCCATCTTTAATTCAACTCCATTTATGTTTCATACAACTATCATTCAAGACCCTTTAGTTCCATTAGAAAAATATTATTATAGAGTTATTTAGGTAATTAACTAAAAAGTTAGCTAAAAAATTAAGGTTCAAATTAACTTAACACTAAAAAGTTTAGATTAAAATAAGTGGGTATTTATGGCCCTTGAGGAAATCCTAATTGAAAAGAAGTGAAAACCGTGCCAAAATAGCTAGAATTTATTGTGAGTACATGCCAAAAATCGTAGGGTCTGGACACCAAATGGAAAGGTACCGGCGCTTCCCATTAATTAGGAGTAAGAATATTTCGTGTCTAGATTTTGGGCCAAGAAGCAATTTTATTTCTTCATTGGTAAAGCTTTGCTGGTCTCTCAACTTTTACTTTTTCTGCACTTTGATCTATACACTTTTTATTATTCATCTGGGTCCTTGACTTCGACTTTCTCTTTTTCAATTTTGTTCTTCTACAATTCAATCCTCTAATATTTTTGGTTTCTTACAAAAGGTAATTTTTTTTTTTTATCTTAGATTACACAACAAGAGTCAACCCTTTCTTATCTCTTATCTCTTACTCAATCTCATTTACATGCCATACGACTCGAACTCAAAATTTTTTGTTTCTAGTGAAAAAAATTATTATTGAAGTATTTAAGTCGTTGATTACAAAAGACAAAATTAAACCATTAATTCATGCATGTCTAAATAATTTTGGCAAAAAAACTCTACTTTGTTGATCTACTTACAATTTAGAATAGAGATTCATGTATTTCAGTCCAAACTACATACTACAAATGCAATTTAAACTCTAAAATTATTAAATTACCCTTAATGAACAAACATTAAAAAAAATTATTAAGGGCATTTTAATAATACCAGTAGTCGGACTACACTCTTAAGTGCAATCCAAGTTAAAAAACACTTTTGTTTAGAATAATAAATTACAGTTTCTCAATTTGTGGCCTTTTTTTTTTTCTTTTTTCATCTACTTATTTTGTGTTACTAACTGTATTTTTTTCTCCCTCAGATTCCTTTCCGTCTCCTCCGCATGATTTTATTTCTATTTTTTGTGCTTCTTAATACTCCTATGATCAAAATAATTATTTTACATATCAAACTAACTTTTCTAAAACTTAACTGAACTATCTATAAAATTTCCACTACCAAAAAGAAAATATCTTGAAGCAGTGGATAGTTCAATGAGAAAGTCAAGAGGATATTTCCAGGAAGATGAGTAACAAATACCACACAATTATGAAAGAGTATGTACAGTCGTCATCATAAACAATGTCCTATCATTAAAAACAATAAATTCGGTTGGCATCCATTTGAAATTTCAACACAGTTCAGTTTTGTCTATATTCCTGCTTTTAATCATTCACCACAATTGTATTTCAATATAATCCAATTACTTGAATTTGCGTGTTAGAAAAAAATATTTCCACAGTCGCGTCTATGTCCTTTTCTATGACTTCCTTTCTTTCTTTTTTTTTGTTTTTTTGGAAAACCACCCACCAAGGCCTTAAAATGGTGGGCGAGTCAATGAGAAACTCCAGAGGATATTTCCAAGAAGCTGCATAACGAATGCCACAAGAAGTGCCACACAATCATACGATTGTATGTATGCAGTCATAATCAACGTATATCTTGACATTAAAAATAGAAAGTAAAATTATATAATTACCTTGTGAAGATTATGAATATCATTAATTTTATTAAAGTTATTAATTTATAATTTTTTAAATAATTAATTATGATATTTAAAAATATTTTTTAAAATAATTTTAATTCATTAAATAATAAATATTAATTATTTTATTATTTAAAAATTATTTTTAAAAATTAAATTAAAATAAAATTTTAATAATTTTAAATATTTTAACAAATTATCCGACATTAAATGATCTACTAACCATCCCATTGAGGAAAGTATCAGAACATAAAAAACCTGGGTTCTAACCCAAACCCTAGTCCCCTTGCACCGAATTCCCCAAGAAAAAAAAAATGGAAGATTCTAACAAATTAGCAATGGCAACGGCAACGGCAACATCTCTATAGCCCTTTGCACAACCCTCTCAATTCTTCCTCTGAGGTGCGTGACAGCCACCATCAAGAAATGTCCCGTCACTAAAAACAGTCAGTGAAATTACATAACTACCCTTGCATAAACCTCTCAATTCTTCATCTTTGATCCCCGATCTCTCCCATCTCTTTCCCTCCCATGTTTTGCTCTTCTTCTGAAATAGAGGCATCTGGAAAAGAAATAAGCCTAAAATAATGATTCATAATATGGATTCGCTAATTAGTTTGATTTTATTTGATTTATGAAATCTTTAGGAAATAATAATTTACGTAAAAAATCCTTAAAATCTCAAATAAAGAAAAATCCTCAAATTTTCTCTAAAGATCATTTTTAATTTGGATTAGCTGAATCTAGGGATGGAGCCAGGAATATTTTTTAAGGGAGTGAGACTTTTGGAAACATCATGATATTTTAAATTTTTTATGTGAGACACGTTAAAAGTTTTAATGACTTTTATGTGATATTTCTGAGATTTAAGGATTGATTAGAGAATCTCAAAGAGTTATAAGGATTATGGTGCATTTTTCCCATAATTTGAAACATGCGTGGACTGTTTTTCACCTTTTTTGAAATATTAGTAACCTACTTGCTAAATTCAGGAATCATCGATGACTATTTTACAGTTAACTTCTCTATCGTCTTCAAGACTTCAACCGTACAAGATAATCCGTATATATATGCCCAAAAACCACCAGATTTTTTAGTCAAGTATCTCCCTCGTTTCTTAACCAATTTAGGTGTATAATACATCAAAAGAAAGTTTATGAAGAGATCTATCTACTCCTACTAATTTCATAACATATGATGAAAGGTGTAAAATAATGTCATGAACAAGGATTTAAGATCCAAAAGATAAAATTTACATAGTATAGCAAATATGACACATACAATATATTTTTATGAACAAAGATTTAAAATTCAAAAGATAAAATTTACACAAAATATAGTAAATATGATACAAGTAACATATTTTTTATTAAAATTTTCAATTAAAGACCACAACAAAGTTTTGATATCAGTTTATAAAATAAAAGATATATTTAAATACTCAAAATCTAAGTCTCAATTGGTCAAAAAAAAAAAAAAATCTAAGTCTCAAAAAAAATTGTACATACTAAAACTTAAAATTTTCAAAAGTTCAGGGGGCGCGCCCCCTTCAGCCCTCCCGCCTCTGGCTGAATCCAAAGATAAAAATAGCTTCTGTTGCTTTTGAACGAAGAATGGATTTTCTTTAGATAGCGAAGGGGTATGAGCAGCTAGCAATTTGGTTTGGAGATGCTGAAATGGGTCTAACAAAGAATCTATGCAAAGTCTTCTTCCATCTACAACTGCCACTACTATGGGGTGTGAAAATTTGCAAACAGTACTTGTTTGTTGGTGATTCCGGATGGGAACTTCTGTAAATAATTGGGAAAGAGGTTGCTGCTCAATGTAACTGGATTCATCCCCAGAGCTCTTGCTTGTGCGAGCAAACTCACTGTACCATGAATAAGCAAATTAATTAGATAAAAGCACATTTAAAGATAAAGAAGCTAATAATTACAGAAAAAACAATTTTAAAATGAGGAGATATTAATTGGAGATTTTAAATAAAGTCAAGCTCTCGAAAAAAAAAAAACATTTAATATATATACTTTAAAGATAACATAAGCACATAGAATTAAGATAAAAAAAAATTGAAATAGATAATATACTTGCAAATTCAATAGAAGAAATTAAAGAAAACGGACGCTAGTAATCGAATTAATTTGGCCAAACAAATTACAAGCAGCAACGGATCTACGAACCCAATTGCAAGCCGAACAATGTCAGATTATAAGCGAAGGTGAGCCAGCAAAGAAGGAGAGCAAACTTAAAGAAGTGATTAGTTGTATATTTCCTGGAAGATGCTCGGCGATGTGGCAGCGAAATGGATATATATGCAGAGTGATCCAAAAAAGTACAGTTAGGGTCAGGGAATTACAATATTTTAATTAAAGCAAGTTGAAGCTAATTAGAAGAGAGAGGTAAGAGCGCATCTTTTCTTCAAGATGCTTTGCAAGTATGTGAACGTAATATTGTCTCTCACTAGGTTTTAATCAAATTCTAAACTCCAAAAGGTTTGAATTTATTGGTTGTGTGTTTTATTTAAGATGAGATTTATGATTTAAGTTTTAAAGTTAATAATTAAATACATTTATTTATTTAAATATATTAAATTAATGTAA